GGAAGATCCAGAATTCACCTCCTCCTGTGGACAAGTCTCAATTACTTAAGAAAATAAATTTGGAAACAAGTTCCTTTTCACACTCATACTACCATCTTCTGATTAAAATTGCCTCTTTCAAAGCTACTCTTCCCGCCCCCATTTTCTACAATCGTTTACACTCAAAAGCTCATGTCCTTGCTTCCTGTAGCAACCAATTGTCCTTGTAATTCAACTTCATAATCTCTAGAATCGATTTCTTCTTTTCCTTTTCCAATGCTGACATTCTATTGTAGACCCTGTTTCCTTTGAAGGTTTTTAACTTACCTCTCCTCCAATTTCATTTTATTAGAAATTGGCGGTTTAAAAGGTAATCACTAATAAAGCAATGCTTATAATCTGCAAAATGTTAGCCTTAGCGTACCTCTGACTATATATACATCATGACCCATCTATGCCAGTATCTTAGTTCAGGCAATATCTGATCCACTTTTTTTTTTTTTAAAGATTTTATTTATTTATTTGACAGAGAGAAATCACAAGTAGGCAGAGAGGCAGGCAGAGAGAGAGGAGGAAGCAGGCTCCCTGCTGAGCAGAAAGCCTGATGTGGGGCTTGAACCCAGGACCTGGGATCATGACCTGAGCCGAAGGCAGTGGCTCAACCCACTGAGCCACCCAGGCGCCCCATGATCCACTTTTTTTTTAAAAAAAGAGTTTATTTATTTGAGAGCACGAGCAGGGGGTGGGGGGGAAGGCAGAGAGGAGAGAGAGCGACAAGCAGACTCAGAGCCCAACATGGGGCTCGATCCCATGACCATGAGATCATGACTTGAGCTGAGCCAAAATCAAGAACCAGAGGCTCAACCAGCTCAGCAACCCAGATGCCCCTGATCAGCATTTAAAAAAAAAATGTTTGGTGGTCCCTGGCTGGTTTAGTCAGTAGAGCATGTAACTCTCTCAGGTTTGTAGGTTTGAGCCCCACACTGGGTTTAGAGATTACTTAAAATTAAAAACTTAAAAGAAAATTTTTTTTCTTTAGAGGACTAGAAAGAAATAAAGGACAAAAAAAAAAAAACCTCTATTTTTCCTTTTGTCAGAAATTATTAACCTAATAAATAAAAATGTTCAAAAATCTGTGAAAGTGTTATTTTGAAATGGTTTTATCATTTTTAAAAGCCAGAATTGTTTCTTTCTGCTTTTGTAATAATTTCCATTTCCTGACTTACAGGGTCAGATTTCTTCAGATAAACCCTCCAATTTTTGCTTCAACTCACACCTCACTACTGAAATACTAGATTTAAAATTTCTTCTACCCACAGGAGTATACTTTTTTATTACCACTTTAAATTGAACTACTTGGATAATTTCCTCCTTTGAACTAGAAGAAAATATAAAAGGAAACATCTAGTCACTTGAGACAGAAATCTTGGTTCTAAAACCAAGACTTTCAAAAACACAAGTGTTGGCGAGGATTTGGAGAAAAAGGAACGCTTCTGTACTCTTGGTGAAAATGCAAACTGATGCAGCCACTGTGTAAAACAGTATGGAGGTTCCTCAAAAAATTAAAAATAGAATTACCATATAATGCAGTTAATTGCACTCTTGCATATTTACCCAAAGTATACAAAAACATTAGTCTGAAAGGAAAAATGCACCCTTGTTTATTGCGGGATTACTTACAATAGCTAAATTACTGAAGTAGCCCAAATTACTGAAGTAACCCCTAGAAGAATGGATAAAGAAGAGGTGGTACATATATACAATGGAATTTTATTCATTCACAAAAAAGGAAATCTTGCCACTTGCAACAACATGGATAAATCTAGAGTAAAATGCTAAGCGAAATAAATCACTCAGAGAAAGACAAATACCATATAATTTCACTCCTGTGTGAAATTTAATAAACAAAACAAACGAACAAAGGAAAAAAAAGATACAAACCAAAAAACAACTCTTAACTCTAGAGAACAAATAGATGGTTAGAGGGGAGGTGGATGGAGGGATGGGTCAAAGAGTTGAAGGGGATTAAGAGTACACTTATGTTGATGAGCACTGGTTGATATACAGAATTGCTGAATCACCTGATTATACACCTGAAGCTAATATAACATTGTTATGTTAACTATACTGGAATTAAAATAAAAATAAGGGACGCCTGGGTGGCTCAGTGGGTTAAAGCCTCTGCCTTTGGCTCAGGTCAGGGTCCCAGGGTCCTGGAATCGAGCCCCGCATTGGGCTCTCTGCTCCGCAGGGAGCCTGCTTCCTCCTCTCTCTCTCTCTGCCTGCCTCTCTGCCTGCTTGTGATCTCTTCCTCTGTCAAATAAATAAATAAAATCTTAAAAATAAAATAAAAATAAAAAATGCACAAGAGAGCTTGTGCTCTCTCTCAAATAAATAGCATTAAAAAAAAAAAGATTTCTCTTCCTTTCTCTGGTTTGGTGGTAGATGTACACCTCCTGAAATTACCTTACTCTTAATTGTATGTCAATCTCGTATAATTTTAACATGAATGATTTGCAGGTAAATTTGGCTAGTACTTAACAAACATGAAAACAATAATATTTTATTAGTATTTTATTTTTTAGAGGTCAGTTGTGAAGCAATCATTTTGAGCACTTAAATAAACCTTCATGTAAAAATCTGGAGAATTTATTTCAAATATACTCCAAATATTTAAACAATGCATAAATATTTAATAAATATTATTAGCATCTGAAAATAAATTAACCAAATAAACATTTCACATACACTAAAACACTTAAATAATGCTAAACTATCAAAGTTAATGTTAGATCTTTCAAAAATAATAGAAATGATTTTGTGTTGTGCATTTTTAATTCAAAACTGTACATGGATGCAATATCATAAAGACCCCAACAATGACAACTTTCAACACTGTATTTTTTCAATTTTACACTAATTCTTGCATAAAGCAATATCTGACAACAGATCTAGATTTACTGATACAGCTTGACAGTGGTAATCTATCAATTTACCAAACATGCCAAACTAACTTTTTAAAGTAACAGATTTTTGCTCCAATTTTCTATTTTCCTAATTTTATAGATACATGTGATAAAAATTTCAATTTCATTAACTATAAGGCTAGAAAAAGTAAACTTTTTCCAACATATAAGGTCATTTTGAGGAAAATAAGGATAGACTTTAATATTTATAATAGTGACTGATTAATTGTAATCGACTAGAATACTAGATCTGAGACATTTATAATTCTCTAAGAATTATGCCAGTACCTTGTTCATTTCAGTCACGTTGTTGCTCTTTACATAAAACTGTTATAAAAAGTTATGTCTATATATTGACAATAAAAAACCATTAAAATGTAGCAACCTTGGGGCGCCTGGGTGGCTCAGTGGGTTAGGCCGCTGCCTTCAGCTCAGGTCATGATCCCAGGTCCTGGGTTCAAGCCCCACATCGGGCTTTCTGCTCAGCAGGGAGCCTGCTTCCTCCTCTCTCTCTGCCTGCCTCTCTGCCTACTTGTGATTTCTCTCTGTCAAATAAATAAATAAAATCTTAAAAAAAAAAAAAATGTAACAACCTTTTTCTCAATACTTCAAGACTTCATATAAAGCATGCAAATCAATATTGCTGATCTTTTAACATAATCTTTTAAATTATATACTTGACAAATTCTTTAAAAGAGAAATTATAATTAATCATAAAATTTTCATTTTCCTACATAAAACTATTTCCTCCTATAAAATATCTGTCAATCCATTAAAAAAAAAACCCTCCTTAAAAGCAATCTTTATAATCTGATAAATAAAAAAAAGTTTCTATTCACTTAAATAGGGGGCATGAACCCTGTACATTAACTATTCTGTCCTGATACAGGATTTTCCTCTGGTGAAACAGAATTCCAGGAAAAAATACAAGTTCTCCATGCCCATTTACCTTGCCAACAATTTAAAGGAGTAAAATGAAGATTCTAGTTGCAGTTTTGACAGGTAAGAAATGAAAAGGCTCCCAGTCCCAAATTAAAGATTACATTAAAAATTTGGCACTGTCAAATTAGACAGAGATTAAGCTGTAGTGAAAAAAGAAACAAGGTCTTTAACAAGTATTTTAAATCTGCTAAGAGAAAAATCAATTATGCCTTGCTATCTACCAAAGACATTGGTTAAAAGAAGTCTCAGTAATACAACACATTATATCACCTTTCCTTTTGTAATGAAAATGGCTATTAAATATATTAATCCTAGTTATAATGGAATAATTTCTTAAAACTTTTTTTCTTTCTTTAATACTAAGGTAAAATACATTTTGGAAATCTGCATGGAATGTCCCCAACAAATTGGTTCCTTAGCTTTAGCAGTCCCTGTGTCATACAGTTTTATTCATTCTTTCAACCACATGAAACAAACATAATCCCTCAAAATATAAAAACAAGTCTGATCTTCTGTTATATTAAATAATGAGCTCAACCATTTAATATAAAACAACATACCATTTTGGGTTTCTGTTAACAGGGCAAAATAGAAATTATTCATAGGAAAAAGTACTAAATGACTAAAATCTGTCTTTTTTGGGACAGAATTCACCCTTATATCCCTCTGCTACCAGTAATGGCTTACCTGCTCTAAACCATTCAAGGTTCAAGTTCACTACTACAAATGCAGACATTTTCCAGTTTTTGTCATAGATTTTTCTTTTAACATTGTTTTTAGGATGCTTTAAACAATTAGTTTCACAACTATTATTTCAAATTTATGTTTACAATTCATAGCCCATCTTCAATAAGGCCATGGCTCTTACACTTTTTGGATCACAGACCACTTAAGATTTTAACAAGAGCCCTCTCCAGAAAGACAAATAATTACATATTCAGTTTTGCTAGCAATTCAGGGGTTTCAAGGCCCCAATGACATCTGCTTAGGATAAAAATCCTTGTAATAAAGAGAAGAAATCAAACAACAGATTTATTTTATATCACAAAGGTTTAATTAAAAAAACAGAGAAATCTATTTTAGGTATTGAACAAATTTTTTGTGTGTGTGATTGAATAGGCAAAATTAAAATATTTACAAAGGAAGGAATTTTTGTTATTAGTCTTAGCTAATCATAACCTTGTGAGATTTATAAGAGTATTAGCTAGTAAATATATAATACATTAACTGGAGGAGTTAATGTTCATACTTGAGGGCAGAGTTTATCAGGATCTATCAGTAAAGAAAAACATATGCAAAAAAGGGTAGTATTTTCTAGTACTACTGAAATACCATGAACAGATCCTCAGATTCAGGTAGATCATTTGTAAGATACCATCAGTGATCAATGTATACAACACAGTTGCACATAGCTATTAAGAAGTCATTTTTGGTATGCATTATAAGCATGTACCCAAATAACCAAAGGACTACAATTCAAAATTTCTAGAGCAAATGCAATTAATGGCTTTCACCTTATAGTTAAAGGCTTACAACAGATTTTAATACTTTAAATCATTAAAGATTGGTTGACTTCAAAGTATGTTTGAAAGTATGTAAATATGTAATATGAATGGGTAAGAAACAAAAGGTAATTATGGCAATGTCAATTTTTTAATCCAAAAATTAAAAAGCAAAATACATTTCATATATGAGAGTAAATGGGTTTTTTTCTTTATTCAAGTAAACATTCTGATTATAATACATGATAATGGACAACCCATGTGACAAAGTATGGTAGACTACAGTTTGGTGTAGCTTCCTTGTTTCGAGGATGATTTTCCAGGTGATTCTTCAGGATCTGACATTGATGCCCAACAAAGGCTTTCCAATGGCAATGCATGAGTTCTAGAGAACCGCCTCTATCTTTCTTCAGATGCTGAGTGCCATATTCTCCCACCCATTTTATCCTCCAATACTTATATAAAACCCCACTCTAAAATTCAACCTATGTTATAAAATTAACAAAATAAAAAATTAGTATATGTTTTCCCACAAGGATAAAATTAAGTCAGACTCAACTTAATCTTTCTTTTTCTTTATCTTTGGAAGGATTTACATAATCTCTAAAGAGTCAGAGTAATATACAACACAAAAAAGGCAAAGAACCTTATTATTGGTATACATAATATGTTGGGAATTGCTCATGTATTCCAAAGCTTAACCTTCCTGGGATATCAATCCTCCAGCAGATATTATAGTTTACAAACAGAAGATTGTGTTATAATAAGTGGAAATACAGTACCTGATTTTATGTAAAGTAACTGTGAGATCTTTTCTCACTAGTAAAGTGCTTAATTAAGAAACATTCTTCCACAACATAATTTACCTTGTCAAAGGCACAAAATGTCTTTGTCTCTCTCTCTAAGCATTAGTCTTTAAAATTATAGTATTACTCATTTTGATTTTATTTAATTGAAAATCTTTACTGTTTTTTTCTCTCAGTAATAAAAAAAAACTGCTTTGAGCAAAACATTTTTTATTTTCAAAACTTTGCCATGAACGTACATACAACACTAAATTAGATCCCTTCATGAGCTGTCTGTATGCCACGAAGCACTTATGACAAAAACATATGCAAGCTTTAGGGTAAAAGTTAACAAGGAATCAGAATATCTCCCCCAAAAAGGGGGACAGGGAATCATTAAATTAAAAATTGTTAGCTTTCATTTTATAAAAAATAGTTTGAATAATCTTCTTATAAATCTGTAATGCTTACAAAAGCAGGAAATACATTTAAAATAGTTTTTTTAACACAGATTCATTAGTACAATGTGGTTATGGTCAGAAAAATAACAACTAAAATGGCATTTCAGTAGTCTGCATTCTCTTCTCAGCAAATTCCACATAGAATTTAACCAATTTGCAATTCAAAATAAAATTTAGTTGTCAACAGGGTCAGACTGGCTGTAATTAGTACCTGAATATCAAACTCTGTTCCATTTCATATATTGTACCAGAATTTTAAATACAGCTCAATGATAGGTACTGATAACAATACTTGACTGGATGGTTACCACCCATGACTACTGCACTGCAGGTTAAAACATACTTTGGTCAGTAAATTAAAAAGATATAAATCAAATAACAAGGCCAGAAAACTTGTTTTAGAACCAATTTCCTGACCTTAAGTAAACTTCAAATACATTGACAAGGCAAGGAAAATATAATCAACTATACAGAGAGTCTCTACTTTTTAATCATTTGGCATTTTATATTAATTTTCTTGTTTAAAATTTTATTTTATACTCCCGTGCACTGATTATCATAGCTGTCTGAATTAAAATAAAACTACAGTTACCTTCCTAGAATGTCCAGTAGTGAACGCAAATTAATTACTTCTTTTGCACTTCCATGAAGATGGTCCTTCATCCTGTAATTTTTTCAATTTTGGACCAAGAAAGAACCACCAACCAAATCCAATAAATACACAAATGATGGATTCTACATAATAACCATCCAACGCCGTAACACATGAGCCACCAAGCTTTTTGCAAAGCTGTAAAAGTAAAATTATAATAAATACTTCACAATTTCAAAATGGAAGTATTCAGCAATTTAGATGTTTCTACTTTGTAGTTAAGGGATTAATAAAAAAATACTTTTGGAAGTTATTTTTATTTTTTATTTTATTTTTATTTTTATTTTTTATTATTATCATTTTAAGTAATCCAGGATGGATCTTGAACTCATAACGCAGGGACCAAGAGATCAAGTGCCATAGGGGTCTACCCACTGAGCCAACCAGGATCCCTTCAAAATGTATTTTTGTTAAATAATTTCAACATTTCATTCACTTCAAATGGTGAAATATGCTAATATACCTTAATTTCTCTAATGCTACTAAGAGGATTAAAAACATTTTCAGCTTTTATAAACAATACTCATATTCCATTTTGAAGATACAGCTTTTCATATTTGGGAAATGTGAAGAAAATTTCCAATGAATCTACCCTAGAAGTGGGCTAATGTTAATTTGAAATAATTTAACAATAGTGTGCTAACCATTCAGGTCTGGCTACAATTGTTATATAAATAGTCAATGGAGTTTCCCTTTTTCCATCATTATAATACTCAGCTGTTAATTATGCACTTATTAAGTGCCTATTGTATAGAATCCTCAAGGTAAAGGGGAGAGAGACTATTCCTCCCTTGCTGAGAAGCCTCTTCAAATGAGCTACTCTTACTGAGCGTTATAAGCTCAGTTCTGACAGGAAAAAAAAAAAATGCAGAGATCTCTACACCAGAAACTAAGGACACCTGGGTGGCTCAGTTGGTTAAGCATCTGCCTTTGGCTCAGGTCATGATCCCAGGGTCCTGGGATTGAGCTCCACATTGGGCTCCCTGCTCAGCAGGCAGCCTGCTTCTCCCTCTCCTGTTCCTCCTGCTTGTGCTCTCTCTCTGTCAAATAAATAAATAAAATCTAACAAAAAAAAAAACACAAAAAAAAGAATGAAAGAAACTATAGGCAGGTATGATTTTTCAAAAAAAATACAGTACTTCTAGAGGTAAATAAGAATATTAATATCTTTTTTTAAAAAGTAATTTCCATACCCAATGTGGGTCTTTTTTTTTTTTTAATTTTATTTATTTATTCATCAGAGAGAGATCACAAGTAGGCAGAGAGGCAGGCAGAGAGAGAGAGAGAGGAAGAAGAAGGCTCCCCGCCAAGCAGAGAGCCTGATGTGGAACTCGATCCCAGGACCCTGAGATCATGACCTGAGCTGAAGGCAGAGGCTTTAACCCACTGAGCCACCCAGGCGACCCCCCAATGTGGGTCTTAAACTTACAACCCCAAGATCAAGAGTGGCATGCTCCACAGACTGAGCCAACCAGGTTCCCCTGAAAATTAGCATCTTTTATTTAAAGATTTCATTTATTTATTTGACAGAGAGAGCGAGCATAGCAGGGGGAGCAGCAGAGGGAGAGGGAGAAGCAGGATCCCTGCAGAGCAGAGGGAACCTGATGTGGGACTCGATCTCAGGACCCTGGAATCATGACCGGAGCCAAAGGCAGTTGCTTAATTAACTGAGCCACCCAGGCACATGATCCTTTTTTTTTTTAAGATTTTATTTATTTATTTTTAGAAAGTGCACAAAGCATGGGCAGCAGCATATAGGGCAGGCAGAGCAGGCAGAGGAGGCAGAGGGAGAAACAGGCTCCCCACTAAGAAAGGAGCCCGAGGCGAGACTCAATCCCAGGACCCTGGGATCATGACCAGATCCAAAGGCAGAAGCTCAACCAACTGAGCCAACCAGGCATCCCTGAAAATTGATATCTTAATGTTATCTAAATTTATGTTATCTAAAATTACAAAATTATTGCTTAATGTTATCTAAAATTACAACATACTGGGGTGCCTGGGTGGCTCAGTTGGTTGGGCACTGCCTTCGACTCGGGTCAAGATCCCAGAATCCAGGGATCAAGCCCCTCATCGGGCTTCCTCCTCTGCTTCTTCCTTTGCCTCTCACCTGACTCCTGCTGTCTCCCAAATAAATAGATGGAAACTTTAAAAAAATAAAAATAAATAAATAAAAATAATATCACAACATACTTACCTCAACAGCATCAGGTGTTCGACAATTCTGGTTTGATGCTCCTACACACTCTTTCACTGTGAGGGGATCTACTAGCCAAAGAGCTACTGTAGAAGGCCAGTTTCCTCCCAGATTGGACACAGTATTTAAAAGGGTCATATATGTTCCTCCAATAAGTGGATCACTAACCTTCGCATTGAAAGCCATTATGGAAACATACATGCTGTACAATGTAACCTACAAGGAAAATGTCAAACATCTTTAGCATAATTAGACTTTATAAAAAAGAATCTGAGTTAAGAACATCAAATTCAGGGGCGCCTGGGTGGCTCCATGGGTTAAAGCCTCTGCCTTCGGCTTGGGTCATGATCCCAGGGTCCTGAGATTGAGTCCCACATCGGGCTCTCTGCTCAGCGGGGAGCCTGCTTCCCCTTCTCTCTCTGCCTGCCTCTCTGCCTACTTGTGATCTCTGTCTGTCAAATAAATAAATAAAATCTTAAAAAAAAACCCATCAAATTCATAAATCTGAAAATTAATTTTTATGACCCTTATTAAACTTGAGTCAACAAAGACATATTGAGCACCTACTATAGGCCAGATGAGATCATGGCAATAAAAAAATGAATAAGACAGTCTCTCTGTGCCCTTGAAGAATTTATTCTAGGCTGGGAAATTAAGGAATAAATAATTATGATGAAGTGTAGTAAGTACTGTAAGTAGAAGTACATACATTATATTACTGGGACCTAAACTATGAGAGATTAATTCTACATTAAGTAGTCAAGGAAAGCTCAATAGAGAAAATGACAAACAGGGTGGCATCAAAGGACGCATCAGCAATTAGTAAAACCCCATATTTGTACTGTTCCTAAATATATCCTGTGTGTGAATGAATATATATGTATTTTTTCCTTTACATATATAGAAGAATGATAACATTTCAAAATTTAAGAGACAAACTGAACAGAAAAATCTCCTTAAGAGGCAAAAAGTACTTAAGAGGCAAGAATTAACCCTCCATTTAAAAACAGAGAAACAAACTCTGTCTCCAAAATAGCTTTCCTTTGAATACTGTTTCATAGGGCGTTCACAGAAAAAGGTATTCCACAGTCAAAAAAGAATGAGAAACACTAAATTACACAAAAAAATCAACAGGTCCCTTTCACTGTAGGCCTCTGAAAGGCTTTAGGATATAAACTCCCTAAGGACAGGGATTTTGATATGATTTATTATTATATTTTACCACTTAGAATGGTTTCTGGCATAGAATAGGTTTCCAATTAATATTTATTGATGATTAAGATGCTACATAAAGAGGGGTTATGTCAGGTATCATTTCTCAACTTTACTTGACCTTGTACAGTTTTTCCCAGAAAACATCTGGCTGTCTGAGCATCACTGGCTACATTTTAGATAATTTTCTTTTCTTTTCTTTTTTTTTTTTTAAGATTTTTTTTTTTTTTAATTTATTTGTTAGAGAGAGAGAGTACACACAAGCAGGCAGAGAGGCAGGCAGAGAGAGAGGAGGAAGCAGGCTCCCTGCTGAGCAAGGAGCCCGATGCGGGACTTGATCCTAGGACCTCAGGATCATGACCTGAGCCGAAGGCAGCTGCTTAACCAACTGAGCCACCCAGGCGTCCCATAGAAAATTTTCTAATCAAATCCAAAGCCAAACAAATGATTTTTGGACTACTACACTGTAGTTTTCCTTTACTTACACAGATAGTGAAACATTTATTAAGTTAAAGCACTCCTTTAAACATACATTTAGTTGGACAGATCCATTATGGGTTCTCCCAAATGATACAACTATATGTAAAAAATTATTGAAATTACTTGGTAGCCACACTTTTAGGTTTCCATTAAAAACAAGTGAGGAGGGGCGCCTGGGTGGCTCAGTGGGTTAAAGCCTCTGCTTTTGGCTCAGGTCATGATCCCAGGGTCTTGGGATCGAGCCCCGCGTCAGGCTCTTTGCTCAGCAGAGAGCCTGCTTCCTCCTCTCTCTCTGCCTGCCTCTCTGCCTACTTGTGATCTCTGTCTGTCAAATAAATAAATAAAATCTTTAAAAAAAAAAAAAAACAAGTGAGGAATTTGTAATTATAATTTTCTTTTTTTTTCTTTTTTTTTTCTTTTTTTTAAGATTTTATTTATTTATTTGTCACAGAGAGAGAGAGAGAGAGTGCGAGAGCAAGCACAGGCAGACAGAGTGGCAGGCTCTCTGCTGAGCAAGGAGCCCGATGTGGGACTCGATCCCAGGACGCTGGGATCATGACCTGAGCTGAAGGCAGCGGCTTAACCAACTGAGCCACCCAGGCGTCCCTGTAATTATAATTTTCAAAGAGTTTAAACTAGTTTCCATAGAAAAGTGACTCTTAAATACACATTTATAATAACGGCACTCAAGTCCCAAAGTTTACTGCTGGGCGTCTACAGCCTTCTTGAACCACCTGCCCCCAGAACACAACCCCATTCTGCAACAGCTTAGGTGAGGCTAGGGATTACAAACATAGCTAATAAAGAAAAAGAAAGCAGATTAAGACACAACTTTCAAAATCACAAAAAGTAAGCCTTAACTCTCAGTACAGAATCTAAACCAAAAACCTGGGTTCTGTCACACAGTAGCCATCATTATTTCTCAAGACTTTCAGAAAGAAAAGGCATCTGGAATAGAAGAAATAAAGAACCCAAGTCTAGGGATGAACTGAGGAATACTTAGGAAGCGTATAATTACTAGCTTTGGAATTAATTCTGTACTATAACAAATACTGGTTGAATGAACAAAATAAATGAAGAAACTCTCCACAAATAGAGTTCAAAAAATCAAAAGCCACAGTTTAAGGTTCACTGTCAAATAATCTCTTCAATGTTAGACTCATGCTTAAGTCTTAAAATTTATTATCATTATTTGAAGGCCACTGCAGAAAAATGACTTCTTTATTTTCCAAAAACAGTTTACTTCTGAGAAAACCACAGCAAGCTTACCTGATGTAATGCATAACTCAGCAGCACTATAATATAGTAATATATAGGGAATCCTCCTTGATGTTCTACTTTGGGAGTCCACCAAACCAGCAGAGCATATTCTAATCCAAGCAACAATCTATAGAAAAAGAAGAAACATGGAGTTGACTTCCATTTTAGGTTAAAAAATAACAACAAAAACAGAAATCTGTATGCCTACTATGTGAAAGTAGCCTATTATTTAAAAACTGTTAGGAGGTTAGAAAGAGATAAAAGTGCATATAAATGATATTGAAGTTAAAGATGCTTCCCAAGTCTTTTTCCATATATACTTAACACAGTTATTAGTGATACTGATGAATGCTCCTCATTTAACTTTTCTTATTTAGTAAGGTTTTATTTCATTTTTACCTGTAGGGCATGGCTTTGTAAAATATGTTTAGTGGCTGGGGACCCGCAGTGTATTTGCTGATAATCAGAGGCAATATTATCTGCAAAGGAACCATTGGAACTGCCAATAAGGCTAAATGCTCTTTGGGTACTCCTTCTTCTACCAATTTCAGTCCTGTTACTGCATCTGCTGCTGAAAAACCAATCTGCAATATAAAAACAAAAAAATACCTTCATTTGTGATTTACAAAATATTTTCCCCAAGCATATGTAAGTTCTTCGAGAACCTCAATCTCATTATTGATTTACAGCAGTTACAAGTAAATATATTATTCTATCTGGTACAACAATCAAGTTACAGAAGACATACTTTATCCTATGGTCTACTGACAATATTCAGTGAAAACAACTGAAAATTCAGCACTTTTAGGAACTGCAGATGGTAACAAGTACAACTAATTTCCATTTTAAAAAGTTTAATCTCTTACAATAAACAGTACGCAAATCCCAACTTACTGATTAATATGTTTTAAGTTTTAAAGAGCCTTTAATTGACTCCAAATAAAATCTGGTTAAAATGAAGCATCAAGTGGAAAACCCAAAAGACTCCACTCCAAAACTGCTAGAACTTGTACAGGAATTCAGTCAAGTGTCAGGATATAAAATCAATGCCCAGAAATCAGTTGCATTTCTCTACACCAACAACAAGACAGAAGAAAGAGAAATTAAGGAGTCCATCCCATTTACAATTGCACCCAAAACTATAAGATACCTAGGAATAAATCTAACCAAAGAGACTAAGAATCTATACACAGAAAACTATAAAGTACTCATGAAAGAAATTGAGGAAGACACAAAGAAATGGAAAAATGTTCCATGCTCCTGGATTGGAAGAATAAATATTGTGAAAATGTCTATGCTACCTAAAGCAATCTACACATTTAATGCAATTCCTATCAAAGTACCATCCATTTTTTTCAAAGAAATGGAACAAATAATCCTAAAATTTATATGGAACCAGAAAAGACCTCGAATAGCCAAAGCCATATTGAAAAAGAAAGCCAAAGTTGGTGGCATCACAATTCCAGACTTCAAGCTCTATTACAAAGCTGTCATCATCAAGACAGCATGGTACTGGCACAAAAACAGACACATAGATCAATGGAACAGAATAGAGAGCCCAGAAATAGACCCTCAACTCTATGGTCAACTAATCTTTGACAAAGCAGGAAAGAATATCCAATGGAAAAAAGACAGCCTCTTCAACAAATGGTGTTGGGAAAATTGGACAGCCACATGCAGAAAAATGAAATTGGATCATTTCCTTACACCACACACGAAAATAGACTCAAAATGGATGAAGGATCTCAATGTGAGAAAGGAATCCATCAAAATCCTTGAGGAGAACACAGGCAGCAACCTCTTCGACCTCAGCCGCAGCAACATCTTCCTAGGAACATCGCCAAAGGCAAGGGAAGCAAGGGAAAAAATGAACTATTGGGATTTTATCAAGATCAAAAGCTTTTGCACAGCAAAGGAAACAGTTAACAAAACCAAAAGACAACTGACAGAATGGGAGAAGATATTTGCAAATGACATATCGGATAAAGGGCTAGTGTCCAAAATCTATAAAGAACTTAGCAAACTCAACACCCAAAGAACAAATAATCCAATCAAGAAATGGGCAGAGGACATGAACAGACATTTCTGCAAAGAAGACATCCAGATGGCCAACAGACACATGAAAAAGTGCTCCATATCACTCGGCATCAGGGAAATACAAATCAAAACCACAATGAGATACCACCTCACACCAGTCAGAATGGCTAAAATTAACAAGTCAGGAAATGACAGATGCTGGCGAGGATGCGGAGAAAGGGGAACCCTCCTACACTGTTGGTGGGAATGCAAGCTGGTGCAACCACTCTGGAAAACAGCATGGAGGTTCCTCAAAATGTTGAAAATAGAACTACCCTATGACCCAGCAATTGCACTGCTGGGTATTTACCCTAAAGATACAAACGTAGTCATCCGAAGGGGCACATGCACCCGAATGTTTATAGCAGCAATGTCTACAATAGCCAAAGTATGGAAAGAACCTAGATGTCCATCAACAGACGAATGGATAAAGAAGATGTGGTATATATACACAATGGAATACTATGCAGCCATCAAAAGAAATGAAATCTTGCCATTTGCGACGACGTGGATGGAACTAGAGGGTATCATGCTTAGCGAAATAAGTCAATCGGAGAAAGACAACTATCATATGATCTCCCTGATATGAGGGAGAGGAGATGCAACATGCGGGGTTAAGGGTGTAGGAGAAGAATAAATGAAACAAGATGGGATTGGGAGGGAGACAAACCATAAGTGACTCTTAATCTCACAAAACAAACTGAGGGTTAATGGGGGGAGGGGGTTGGGGGGGTGGGATTATGGACATTGGGGAGGGTATGTGCTATGGTGAGTGCTGTGAAGTGTGTAAACCTGGCAATTCACAGACTTGTACCCCTGGGGATAAAAAGATATTATATGTTTAAAAAAAAAATAAAACTTAAAAAAAAATATATATATATAAAAAAAAAAAAATGAAGCATCAAGGGTTGTGAGGTGGCTCCATAGCTCAGGGGTTAGAGCACTGGTCTTGTAAAATGAAGCATCACGGCCACATATACACATTTTTAATGATTTCTGACTGATCATAATAAAATTTCTAAAAGTCATCTAACATTTCAAAAGTAATTTTGAGACAACATTCTATCTAAAGGGTTCAATAAAATGAAGGGGAAGAAAAGCTATAGTTCAATTTTTAAAAACAAACAAAAAAGAGGATGCTCAAAGTAGTGAGTAAAAGTTTGGGGTGAAACAAGGTTATTTAGAGAGTCTCAAAGTATCTCTCCATAAATTAATTTTTAATTACAGAAAGAAAAAAAATAACATTATAATGGGTTAACAAAGTAATCAAAGTTAACAACAGTTAATGGGATAAAGGGACATGATAAGGCTTCTCATAGAATTCCCCAAAGTCACCACTATATTACTTGGGTGATATTCCTGACATATTTGCATTACCTGAACCTAAACATGAAGAAACATCAGACACACATAAATGGAAGGCCACTCCACAGAAAAATTTAGAACATCCAGGTCATGAAGGACAAAAAAAGGCTGATACCCACTAAATCCAATGTGTGATTCTGGACTGGATCCCTGACCATGGAAGAGTAAAATTATAAAAGTTGTTACTGGGACAACTGGTGAAATCTGGGTATAGACTGTGATGAGATAACAGTATTGTATCAATTTAAATTCCTTAATTTTTGAGTAGGTTGTAGCTTGGAAAAGAAAACCCTTGTTCTTAGGAAATAAATACTCAAGGTATTTATGGATAAAGGAGCATAGTATGTACAGAATACTCTAATATTTCAGAAGAAATATGTAATAGAGCACAAATCTGCAGAATACAGAAAGTGGAACTAACTGTTAACAATTAGAGAATTTGAATAATGAAATATGGAATTCTTTCAACTATCTAAGCAAATTTTCAGTGAGTGTGAAGCTTTATTAAAAAACATTCTTTAAACAAATGGTAATAGTATGTACTTTAACTTCTTGGAATGGAGCCAAAGGGCAAATTTCACCACAGAAAAATTAAAGGCCAAAGATATTTTACTTAAATCCACAAAAGAATTCACTACATTTCACCCATTCTCTCTGTAAAAATTAGGTATACAAACTGACTTCAACATTTACTTTATCTTAAAAGTGCTATAGTAGGAGATATCTATAGTACACATATCTAACAAAACACCCAGGATATACAAAAATTCTACAAATTGGAAAAAAAAAAAAAAGAGGCAGCTCTGGATATTTAAATGTCCAATAACCATATGAAAAGATGCTCAACCGCTTTAGTCATCAGGGAAATGCAAATTATAACCATAACGAGATGCCACTACACACCCACCAGAAAGGTTAAATTTGAAAGGGCAATATATGTCTTTGCAAGGCCGTGAAGCAACTGGAACTCTCTTACATTGTTGGAAGTAGGGAAAATGGAAACAACCACTCTGGAAAATTGTGTGGCAGTATCTAAAGCATTCCTTATGACCCAGCAATTCCATTCTGAGGTATTTACCCATCAGAAATGTGTATCAATGTTCATCAAAAGTAATGTACATGAATATTCATAGAAGTACTATTCATAATAGTCCAAAAGTAGAAAATTACTAAACACTTGTTGATAGAATGAATAAATTACAGCATATTAATACAGTGGAATATTATAAGCAATGAGATGAACAAACTGTTGCTATAAATAATAATATGGATGAATTATACAAATATAATGTTTAGTGAAATACAAGAGCCAGACATAAAGATGTCTCCATTATAAATCTCCATTTATTATAAAACTCCAAAGCAGGGGCGCCTGGGTGGCTCAGTGGGTTAAAGCCTCTGTCTTCAGCTCAGGTCATGATCTCAGGGTCCTGGGATCGAGCCCTGCATTGGGCTCTCTGCTGGGCGGTGAGCCTGCTTCCTCCTCTCTCCCTCTCTGCCTGCCTCTCTGCCTAGTTGTGATCTCTGTCTGTCAAATAAATAAATAAAATCTTAAAAAAAAAACAAAACAACTCAAAAGCAGAGAAAGCTAATTTATGACATTAAAAGTCAGGAGAGATGTTACTTTTGGCAAAGTTTACTTTAAAAGGGAACATAAGGGTGCCTGGGTGGCTCAGTTGGTTGAGCGACTGCCTTCGGCTCAGGTCATGATCCCGGACTTCCAGGATCAAGTCCCGCATCGGGCTCCTAGGTCCTTGGGGAGTCTGCTTCTCCCTCTGACCTTCTCCTCTCTCATGCTCTCTCTCACTCATTCTCTCTCAAATAAATAAATAAAATCTTTAAAATAAATAAATAAATAAAAGGGAATATAAGATTCTATATTCTGTAACTAAAGCACCTCCTTATACACTATCAACAGTAATTGTAATCTTTTACAAAGCAGTTTGGCAATCATATTCACTGACTCACTAATTGCCTACTTAAGAATCTACCAGGGGCACCTGTGTGGCTCAGTGGGTTAAGCCGCTGCCTTCAGCTCAGGTCATGATCTCAGGGTCCTGGGATTGAGTCCCGCATCGGGCTCTCTGCTTGGCAGGGAGCCTGCTTCCCTCCCTCTCTCTGCCTGCCTCTCTGCCTACTTGTGATCTCTCTCTGTCAAATAAATAAATAAAATCTTTAAAAAAAAAAAAAGAATCTACCAAAAGGAAATACACAAAAATATTCACTAGTGCATTTTTATAATTAAAAAACATAAGCAAATATACAACAGAAAAATGAGTAAATTACAGCAAATCTATACACTGTAACAATTAAATCGCTATTAAAGTACCTTTTCTTTTTTAAGTAGGCTCCATGGCCAGTGTGGGGCCCAACGTGGGACCTGAACTCACGATCCTAAGATGGAGACCTGAAGTGAAATCAAGAGTTGGGCACCTAGCTGACTGAACCACCCAGGTGCCCCTAAAAAGTATGTTTCCAAAAATTATTTAATGATAAGGAATACAGGGTAATAAGACCAAAAAATGAGATAAAAATTATATATGATATGATCCAATTCCACTTTTATTTACATGCATATCTGTATGTATATAAGTATATAAAGAGTTCCAGTTGCTTCACGGCCTTGCAAAGACATATATTGTCCTTTCAGATTTAACCTTTCTGGTGGGTGTGTAGTGGCATCTCGTTATGGTTATAATTTGCATTTCCCTGATGACTAAAGCGGTTGAGCATCTTTTCATATGGTTATTGGACATTTAAATATCCAGAGCTGCCTCTTTTTTTTTTTTCCAATTTGTAGAATTTTTGTATATCTTGGGTGTTTTGTTAGATATGTGTACTACAGATATCTCCTATTAATATTAATGTCGATTATAACTTATTAATTATATTTATATATATAAAGTGTGTATACACACACACACACAGGAGAAAAAGAGGGCTGGAAGGAAATACACCAAAGTGTTAGTAATGATTACCTCTAAATGATATAATTAGAGAATATTACTATCTTCCTTGAACCTTTCATTATGTTCTGAAGTTGAATCTTGAGTTCCTTAAGTTTAACCTTCCCAGTGTTTCCTTAAAATGTAACCCTCCTTATCATTAGGGGAAAAAATTCACTATTTCAAAAACAATGAGGCTCCAATTTTTACTTCAGGGTTGTCAAAAGGTAACTGTAAAGTGTTTATAAAGATAGATACATAATATGAAACTCCTATAATGGACTAAGGTTTTAGGAATATTAATTCCAATACCAGCAATATCTTACTATAATTAAATATATATTTCCTCTAGCATAATATCTTTAAAATGTTTTTGGACTATAGAATTAGGACTTTTTTTTTTTTTTTAAAGATTTTTTATTTATTTGTCAGAGAGAGAGAGAGCGAGCACAGGCAGAGTGGCAGGCAGAGGCAGAGGGAGAAGCAGGCTCCCCACAGAACAAGGAGCCCGATGTGGGACTCGATCCCAGGACGCTGGGATCATGACCTGAGCCGAAGGCAGCTGCTTAACCAACTGAGCCACCCAGGCGTCCCAGGACTTTTTTTTTTAATTAGGACCTCTTTTTTTTTTTTTTTTAAAGATTTTATTTATTTATTTGACAGAGAGAAATCACAAGTAGGCAGAGAGGCAGGCAGAGAGAGAGGAGGAAGCAGGCTCCCTGCTGAGCAGAAAGCCCGATGTGGGGCTTGAACCCAGGACCTGGGATCATGACCTGAGCGGAAGGCAGAGGCTTAACCCACTGAGCCACCCAGGCGCCCCTTTAATTAGGACATCTTAAAATAGAAAACATAAAGAGTAAAATAAGAGCTACCAAAATCCCCATTTATTTACTGTATATTTCCTTTCAACATTAAAAAAAATAAGTCAACTCATTTTTAAATAGACTTCTATATTTCCAATTATAATACCTGTGACATTAAATGTACATTCATTATAACAGTAGGGAGCTGTTTTTTTCAAGGCATTCATTTCCATACCAAGCATTAATATCATTCATTAAATTTCACATTTATTAGAATTTCTCTAATTTACTTAATTCTTTTCAAGATTCCAAGATGTTTAGATTACTTTGAAATCAGATTTGATATCATCACACCTTTTAAAACAAATTTAATAAACAGAAAGTACTGTTTTTTATTGTTACATACTAATAGTAGTGGAAAGGAACTTATGATATGAAAAGGTAATTGAAGTATTTCATGATATTGGTAATTATAACAGGGTGGTACATTTGCTTTATAATAAATCTCTTACCTTTGCAGTTAGAATCAGAAGGCAAAATGTCAGAACTGCTGGCATTTTTATAATTGCAAAAAGCAACTTGTAAGTATCAGTGATTCCTTGGGTTTCTTCTTTTCCTACTGATACTTCTTTGTTTTCTTTTTTCAAAAGGGCAACTAGAGTTGTTGTTATCAAAAATACAGTTCCCCAGAAAAAAAGGAAATCTGAAATTAAAAATGTTAACATCTATAACTAACTTTTGAAATGACATATCTGCATTGATACCAAATTTTGTATAAACAACTTTTCTTCCACTAAATCTGTTAGAAGATCAAATCATGTTCAAGGGAACATACTGAGCATACTAGATGAACAAGACAGTCCTGCCTCTGTTAAACATATACTACATAGACAGGGATACTTAACAAGGAAAAAGAAAAGGAATACAGACATTTGTGGGGTGAATGAAACAAGTCTGTTGTGTCATTTTCTTCAAGGAAAGTGCTAGGGATGACCCATGATTTTCATATCCCATCAGATCTATCAGTCATACTTCTTTTTTTTAAAAAGTTTGTTTATGTAATGTCTACACTCTATCCATCTATTTACTTATTTACTTACATGTGTAATCTCTACACCCAGTGTAGGACTCAAACTCACAACCCTCCGCTCTTCTCCATCAGTGATACTTAAGCATATAAGCCATTTCAGTTCTTTATTAAATTATAACTTAAACAGATGCTCATTTATATTAGATCTTCCAACTTTTATTTTTAAAACGTTTTAATGTTTCTAATCTGTTTAGAATAGGCCTCAGTAGGGGCACCTGGATGGCTCAGTCGTTAGGTGTCTGCCTTCTGCTTGGGTCATGATCCCGGGATCCTGGGATTGAGCCCCTCATTGGGTTCCCTGCTCAGCGGGGAGCCTGCTTCTCCCTCTCCCTCTCACCCTGCTTGTGTTCCCTCTCTCGCTATGTCTCTGTCAACTAAATAAATAAAACCTTAAAAAAAAAGAAAAAGAATAGGGTTCAATAGTGTGACACAGAAGGAATTTCCTCACACTTGTACATGCACAACGGGGACACATGAAGAGTACTGTTTGGGTTGTTTCAGTGAAAGAGAGCTTGGCCATTAGCCATTTTTTTGAACAAATCAAGCAGAGGGAGTGAATAATGTTAGAAAGGTTCTGTGCAATAATTAAAAGTGATAGTAATATTAGAGGCACTATTTATTGAGTGTATATCTCCTTTACTACAACAATCCAATAGATTTAGTTAACTAAGCCCCAATTTACAGATAAAGAAATAGGCTTAGGTTACATTGCCTGAAGCTACATTCTAAGTCGGTGGTAAAACTCTGATTTCAAACTTTTATACAACTACTTTCAAAACCTGTATCTCCTTAACCACCCTAAGAATTGTATCTTTGTTTGCCACTACAAAGCTTATTGGATAACCCTGTCTTAGTTTCTTCCTCTGTAAAATAAGAGGACTTGGCTAGAAAATCCCAGATGCTGGTTAGTTCTAACATTCTAGAACTGTAGTCAATTTTATATTTGTTTACTTTTCATTCTCATGCTCATATAGCATGACTAACTGTTCACGGAGACTATTCACCTTTTTTCAAAAACAAGGAGAGCGAGCACTCTACACTCAGGGTTTTTCCTATTTAATGGTCTTGCTCTGTTGCTGTGCTAACTGCAAGCTAACCCCTGTGTTCACTACAACTTGAACCTCACTTATGATGGAGGCAAATGAATTGTTTAGACCAATTACTTTAGACCACCTTACTATTTTTTTTTTTTAGGTTTTATTTTTTTAAGCAATCTCTATACCCAACATGGGGCTTGAATTTACAACCCCAAGATCAAGAGTTCCTTGCTCTACCAAATAAGCCAGCCAGATGCCTCTCAACTTACTGTTTAAATGCTTCCTTTTTTGTGTTATCTCATTGGATTTTCATAGCAAACGTGAGACAGGTATTATTACTATGCAGTTAGAAGGAAAAGAAGCTCAGAATATTTAAATCTTTGCCAAAGATCAAATAATTAGAGGCAGAATTTGAACCTAAATCTTCTAAATTTGGGTTTCATATTTTTTCCATTATTTTATACTGCCTATATAATGATTATTTTAAGTTAATGTTGAAGACTCTACTAGAATTGGCTAATTATTTAGTCTCCATGAGCCTAACCAAAACGGAAGTCTCTGCTATTCAAATTATGCAAATTAAAGAAGCTCAAAGTCTTCAAATATATATGGGCTCCTCACTCAGCAGGGACGGTGGTCTGCTTCTCCCTCTGACCTTCCCCATCTCATGCTCACTCTCTCTCATTCTCTCTCTCTCAGACAAATAAATAACTTTTTAAAAAAAATATAGAAACTTGTGTTCTGGAGTGAATTCTCCACCATAAGAAATCTGTAATTAATTTTATTTTTTATTTTTTTAAAAGATTTTATTTATTTATTTGACAGGCAGAGATCACAAGTAGGCAGAGAGGCAGGAAGAGAGAGCAGGGGAAGCAGGCTCCCTGCTGAGCAGAGAGCCAGATGCAGGGCTCGATCCCAAGACCCTGGGATCATGACCTGAGCCGAAGGTAGAGGCTTAACCCACTGAGCCACCCAGGCATCCCTATTTTTATTTTTTAAATTAATTTTAGTTACGAAAAGAAAAATATGAAACATTCTTAAACACAAAGATATCCATTTAAAAAAAAATGCAGCCATATATACAAGTCTTATGCTTAAGGTTCATTCAAAATAACATAATTTCTAGTTTATGTTAATGTAGCGTTTTACATTGTGGTTCAAAAGGAATGAACAACAATTTAAAGTTATTCTTTTAAGTGAGGTTACTTTTCGTTATTTTTGCATTCTTAATTCTGTGAATGTGACAAATAATGGCTTGTTTACAGTTTTTCATCTACAATACTATTCTCATTCAGAAATTTTTTATTCATCATTTGGTTTAAATTAGCAATTTAAGAAATCCTGAGGGAGACCTGGGTGGCTCAGTCAGTTAAGAGTCTGACTCCTGATCTCAGCTCAGGTCTTAATTTCAGGGTCTTGAGTTTAAGCCCTCTGTTGGGTTCCACACTGGGCATAGAGTCTACTATAAAAAAAAAAAAGAAAGAAAGAAATGCTGGAAAAAAAAAAGAACTATGCTACTTCCACTGTCACTAGAAATTTCAATTAATGGTCTCTAATTAAATGTGAAATTAATTAAAAATTTTTATTTTAATTTTAAGTTATATGCTACTTCAAGAGTTCCAGTTCACTAAGCAAAACATTTTTAAGTTTGCTTAGTATATTCTCCCAATTTTCATGAACAAAATCTTCACCTAGAATCTAAACTTCAATACCAGGAGAAAAACATAAGAACAAGTTAAACAGGTTTCAATGCTGTTTGCAGGTAAAATTATTTCTAATTTCTTTGTGCTCTTTGGATAAAGTAACAGTACACATAAAAAGAAGGCGTTGACAATGCATCACTTCAGAGCTCTCATTCAAAGGCTTTCCCAACAGCCCACACAGAGAGAAAAATGAAGCTAATAGCTCAGAAAAAGAGACTTGACTACTGCCAGAAAATATATTAATAGGTTTTCTGAACACAATTACCAAAAACAGTAATAATCACTAGACTGCTGGCTATTATTAACACTGCTTTGATGCTAGAGAATATCCATAGGCTGATATACCAACCATTGTAAAGATATTGTTACCAAAAATGATCTAAGTATTTCACTACTAACATTTTAGTTAATTTTGATTTACGTGTTTCATCTGTAAAAGCAGTATGATATGTGTGTGTGTGTGTGTGTGTGTGTGTGTGTGTGTGTGTGTATTAAGATGTCAAAGCTGATGTGCAAGTTTCATATACATGATTTTTAGGCAAAGACCATAGGTCAAACTAAATATTCATAAGTGGCTACTAGAGGGGCGCCTGGGTGGCTCAGCGGGTTGGGCCGCTGCCTTCGGCTCGGGTCATGATCTCAGGGTCCTGGGATCGAGCCCCGCATTGGGCTCTCTGCTCAGCAGGGAGCCTGCTTCCTCCTCTCTCTCTACCTGCCTCTCTGCCTGCTTGTGATCTCTGTCTGTCAAATAAATAAATAAAATCTTTAAAAAAAAAAAATAAGTGGCTACTAGATCTTATCGAGTACTTCCATGAATGCAAAATTTAAAAGCATGTGCCAAGGGACGCCTGGGTGGCTCAGTGGGTTGAGCCGCTGCCTTCGGCTCAGGTCATGATCCCAGCGTCCTGGGATCGAGTCCCACATCGGGCTCCTTGCTCAGCAGGGAGCCTGCTTCTCCCTCTGCCTCTGCCTGCCACTCTATCTGCTTGTGCTCACTCTTGCTCTCTCTCTCTCTCTCTCCGACAAATAAATAAATAAAATCTTTAAAAAAAAAAAAAAAAAAAAAAAAGCATGTGCCAATTCACCAATAACCAAGAAGAATATAATAGCTAGCACCTGAGCGCCTATTATGTCAAAGCGAAACAGAAACATAGGACAGTGCACTAAATCTCACTCTCCAATTATTATTATTTCACTTTATACACAATGCAACAGTATTACAGTTCACAAAGTGCCAGAGGTGGGTCTAAACTCAGATCTGATCCTAAAGCAATAATGTTTTCCAATGTACTACCCAGATGCTCAGACAACACCTATCTATAGCAAGCAGGCTCTCTTTCTTATCAACCAGATATGCCTGAGAAGATACCCATTTTATTTCCAACCACAAAGTCTGGAACACAGATACTTCAGCATACTTGTACTCCCCTTCCCCACTTCCATCTCCCCATACAGTAGTATGACAAAGGGTACGCAAACCCATAGGATAAATAAACATGGTGCATCTTCTTAAAGAGTTCACTTTACTCAATAGTTTAGAGGGAAGCCTTGTTAATGAAAAAAAATATACATAGAGGGAAGGCAAAATTTCCAAGAATTTTTAAAGATAAAACATCAGACTACAAAAAGCTTTCATGACTTTTAAGGCTTTGGACTAGGTCCCCAGACCCTTTAATTAGGTATAGGTTCACTCTCTGCCACCACCATAAGAGACAGATTAGGAAGCATTATCTGATATCCTTGACTCAGATCAAATTCTCTCTCCCTGGGCCTCTCACACTACGGAAATTAACTTTAGTCCTTCAGAAGTCAGTGACAGGAAAGCAAACTTTCAGTTTGTTCTAAATGTTAGGTCTTCCTTTCACCTTCTTGC